AGAGTGTTGACCGTGGAGCCGAGCAAACTGAAGCTGTGAACAATCTCAATCTCTTCGCCATCCATCCTGATGCTACCGATTGGTCCAGTGGTGAGGATCTTTGTCTTCTTAACATTGAACCTCAGTCCATAGTGAAGGCTGCAGTCCTTGACCCTCTGCAGTAACTGCATGACTTTGCATAAATAAAATTATAACTCTTAAAGATATCCAATAGACTGAATATCTTAGCAATTTAATATTCACCATTACTCGTTTCAGACATACATGTCAAGACATTTTTATTAATTGCTTTTCTCTTTTAACTTTTAATTTCATCCCACATTTGTTGCATGACTTTTCCCTAATATAGTGATTTTATGCTTCAAACAATTTATTGATCATCCTGTTATATTTGGGATAAAAATATGTGCGTAAAATCCAACATTAACCTTTTTTTTAATACTACTAGCAGCCAGAGACTCTTAGACTGGTGTCTCTGCTTTGGTAAGAGCCAGTGGGAATGTTTGATTGCGAAGTAGTGTGGAATGAAGTAACTCAGAGTGCGTTGGGTTTTTGTTTGGGTGGGTTTTTTATTTTTTTTCTTTTTTAAAAAAATGATTATTAATTACATTGAAAATTTACAGAGACTTCGCATTTCCATTCATTCATTGTTGCAATTTTCTCCCCTCCCAGCCCTCCCCCTAGTACACTGCCCTTTTGGAAAAGTAAAAGAAAAATTCTTTCATTGTTTTACAATCCCTTCCCCCAGGTCCACTCCACTATACAGCCTTTGCTCTGGACTCCTGTCATGACAAAAATACCTAATAACATATCCCTCTTAAACAGTTTTCTCCCTCATCTGTTTCAATGCAGATTATTGAAACCATTCTTCTCAGTTTCCTCCCAAACCCGAGGTCCTGCTTTACAACAGTGTGCCTTGGTTTTTTAATATCAGTTGGGCTCTCAGGCCTTTGGGCCTCAGGCCTAGTGTTGTTATATTTTGGAGGAACATACTTCTAAATCATAGAGCACTATTCTTTCAGTTTGCTGTACTGACCTACTCTGGTTTTGCTATGATGCTGAGCCTTGTGCCTTTTGGGTGTTAAATGCCGTACAGTTCCCCATGGTGGACAGTGTTTGGCAGAGTTCCCAGTTTGACAGGTTTGGAAGCAGGAGTAGCATCCACTTCCTAAATCATGTGTCTATGGAAACTCTTACGAACTTGGAGAAATGATGATAATTATAGAAAGACTTCAGGTCTTTTGTTCCTAGAGTCACTATGAGTTGTCATAGATTTGATGACAATCAACAACAGCAGCAGTTTATTTGTTTTTCACACCAGTTCCTTCCCACTTCCCTCACTCCCCACCCATCAAATTGTGCGACCCTATGATTAATCCCCCCTCCCCCTGCACATCTTCACCTCTCTACTTCTACCCTTCACCTCCTTGGATCCTTATACTCATTCTACAGTAATGGTTTTATGCAGTATTTGTCTTTAAGAGACTGAGTTAGTTCACTCAGCATAATACTCTCCAGTCTCTCCAAAGTTAGGTAATAATTTACAAAATTACTGCTCCTGCATGCTGTGTAGTATTCCATTGTGTGGATGTACCATAATTTCTCAATCCATTTGGTTGTGGTTGGACATCTGGCTGTTTCCATGTTCTTGCAATAGTGAATAATGCTGCTATGAACATTGGTGTACAAGTTTCTCTTTGTGCCTCAGTTCTCATTTTCTCTGAGTGTATTTCAAGCAGTGGAATAACTGGGTCTTACGGAATTTCTATGTTCAGCTTTTTTTTTTTTAATTTTTATTATCTTTTGTGTGTGTACCGTCAAATCACATCTGACTGGTACAGGAGGAGATTACCCCTCCTTCTCCAGCAGAACATCTGGTGGATTCAAACTGCCTACCTCAGGGATTGCAGTGCAGTTTCTTGCCACTAGGCCACCAGAGCTCCCTTATGTTCAGCTTTTTGAGGAAGTACCAAACTGCCTTCCAGAGTGGTTGTACCATTGTACAATCCCACTAACAATGTAAAAGAGTTCTTATCTCACAACATCCTCTCCAGCATTTATTACTTGCTGTCCTGTTAATCTTTGCCACTGCTACTGGCACAATGAGATGGTATCTCATTGTGGTTTTGATTTGCAAAAACAGTGGTTAGATGCCATGAAGTAGGTGGCAGTACCTTAACCGTATGTGTGTTTTAAGGCCCGAAAGCCTCTTCCATTATTGTCAAGGGGAGTGCTAACTTTCTCTCCTTTAATACAATACCAACATTAACTTTTAAAAAATTTATGACCATAAAATTCTAAGTGAATAAAAATAGGTCAAGAGAAAGAAAAAGAATTTGATGACTGTAAATCTATTTCTTTGAAAATATCTTTGTTTATTTCATATCTGAGTTATATCTGACATAAATATGAAAATATAAAATTATTTTTTTATATAAAATTCTTAAAATTAGTTGAATTAGAAGTGTTGGCATTCTCATTTTTAATTTTTTCCACAGGTCAATGAATGGTCATTGAAGATAAGAAAGGAAATGAGAGTAGTTGACAGACAAATAAGAGGTAAATTATCATTTATGTCCCCTGTTTTCTACCTTTGGTATATTGTGCTTTAGTTTATCAAAATAAATTGTATTGACGTATTTTAAGATATGTTTATCATATATGTGTGTGTGTGTGTGTGTGTGTGTACACACACGCATATGAAAGAGCTCTGTTGGCGTAGTGTGTAACATTTCAGGCTTCTAAATAAAAGATTGACAATTTAGATCCACCAACCACTTCTCATCAAAGAGATGGTGGTCTCCTCCCATAAAGATTTACAGCCTCAGAAGTCCGACAGAAGGGCACTCTGAGTTGGACTCCAAGGCAGTGGGGTTTATGGGGATGTGTACACACACATACACGCACTATTATTAGGTGCTGTTGAGTTGACTACAACTCATAGCAACCCTATGAACAGCAGTTCTAAATCTTGCCCTGTCCTGCACCATCCTTCCAATTTCCTCTATCCTTGAGCCTATCGTGCCAATCTATCTCCTTGAAGGTCTTTACTTCTGCCTTTCCCAGTATGATGTCTCCCTTCAAGTTCTTCCTGAAAATAGACCCAAAGTAAATGAAGCAACATTTCACCATCTCTACCTCTAAGGAACACTAGTTGCATTCACTTTAAGATAGTGTTTGTTCTTTTATAAATGATTGTTTACTTTGTTTTGAAAGATCCCTGAATGGTGTAAGCCGTTTACACAAAAGTGAATCAAAATTTTTTACTTTGATCAAAGTTGTTTTTAAAAAAGGTAAAGATTTTTAAAAATTAATTTTATAACTCTCAGGCACTTAAAGACTTCAATAAGATAGTATGTAATGATACTTTCTTAGCATTTAATAGCTAATTCATTATAAATAAATACTAGTCCTCAAACTAATTTCAGGGATGGGTGAAAATCAGTGGGATAGCAGAGGTTAGTGGGTAGATGGGGAGCAGGTGAAGGAATAGGAAAAATTCAATAGAGGCTTAAAAAGATGAGGTAATAATAGAGATTAATAGTAATTAATCATATAAAATATAATCTGTATGAAACAATGTAGATAAAAGATTGTGTAGAACACAGTGTACAATAATGAAACACAATAAAAAAATTTATAAAACCTCAAAACATACTCCAGAAGAGGTGTAGTTAATCCAAGTACCACAAGAAATTACAAAGAACTCATTGGTTATGCTACACCACATAGGTAAAATTGCCTTTATTCTAGGTATCTACATAAATAAATGTATTATAGAACTTTTTTTTTTTACGTTTAGGTTGTTTATTTTTCATTTCAATGAACATCTACAGAGATTTTGGGATTCCATTCATTCATTGTTGCACCCTTCTCCCCGCACAAACCCCTCCCTATAGAACTATTTTTAAAAAATTACTCTTCGAGAAAGAATTGGAGAGAAAAATTTCTGTTTGTGACCATGATGCAGTAATTATTTACAGATTGTCACTCACATAGTACATAAATAGAAAAATGGGTAAAATCTGTGCTCCTACCCTTTTCAGACAGGACAACAGGCAGGACACAGTTGGGATCAGTGGGGAAAGCAGAGCAAATAGGGCCAGACCACCTGGAGCTGCTCTCTGGATTGTAGTGAAGGGCAGGGGATCCCAGGCAGAGCACAGTGGCCTCGCTCCACTGGAGAGACAAAAATCAGACTAGAGAGTCTGAATTCAGCTGTCCTGTCTGAGAAGGTTCCCTGAAATCTGCCTAGAGTCTGAGTCTTTTACTGAAACAAAGCTCTTTGTTACTAGAGACTTGACAAAGAAGAAACTAGTAGGAGCTGTTTATTGAACAGTAATTAGAGCTGATGCACGGCTGAGAGATGGGTGAGGTCTGATGGGAGTTAGTTGACAACTAGTAAGCCTCACAAGGGCCACGCCTTTGTATAAAGCTATGATGGTCAAGCTATCATAAACCCCCACTAATACAGCATTAAACCAAATCTTGAAAGCAAGCCTGCAGGTAACCTAAAATACAGCTTACCATTCTTTAAAGGAATACCACAACAGTCAGATTCTCAGTAATGCAACATTCAGAGTTCAGTGTCCAATAACAAATTGTTGGGAAGAAGCAAGACTGTACCCAGAAATCAGGAGAAAAATCAAGTAATGGAAAAAGATCTAGAGATAACAGATGATAGAATTAAATCGTAAGAATTTAAATAGTTATAAATGTTTGAATAATTTAAATGAAATGGAAAGCACAGTGAGGATATAATTAGAACAAATCAGAACTTGCAAACATGAAAGATACAATATCTGGAATGAAAAGGTCACTGAGTGGTTTTATCAGCAGGTGAGACAGAACAGAGGATAAGTTCCAAGTACTTACACGTAGAGATGCAAGCTGTACCAACTGTAACAGAGAAAGTGTTGGGATAGGTGGAGTGAACAGTCTTAGTGACAGCACCAAATAATCTCACTGGTATAATTTGTCCCAGAGGGAAGAGGCAAGGAAAGCACCAGCCGAAACAATAGCTGGTAAGTTTTCAAGTCTGATAAATACAGCAAATCAGTGGTTCCAAGGAGTGTATTAATTCCACACAGGATAATCACAAGGAAATCTACACCACAGCATATTATAATTAGATTGGTAAGAACAGTGAAGACAGAAAACACCCAGCATAAAAAGACACAGTAAAAATACAGGGAACAAAGATAAGAATGATTGCAAATTTCACACTAGAAAAACAGTATAAACTAAAACAGTTTTGATATAGGTAAAATGAGATAGGACAAAAAAAGGTCAATCTAGAATTTTATATCTCATGAACATACCTTTAAAAGTGAAAGATGGAACACATTTTTAGGTAATAGCTGAGGAATTTGTCACTTGACAATAAGAAGGTTTAAAAATAAGAAAATCATTACAGGAAAGATTTTCAATCTGTAAAACAGTGAAAAATGCTGGGAGTGGTAGATATGTGCATAGAGGGTGCCCCTTTTGTACAGTGTATTCACAGTATAATGAACTTAGTTACAACTGTATTTAGGTGGTTTGTTTTACATCAGTATTACATTCTGCAGCATTCCATGGTGTATATATTACTAATGATAAACTTTTCAATATGAATGAAATAGGGTTATTTTGGAAAATGATGCTAGAGTGGACCTGTAGTCACGAAGTAATGTCTTACAATGACAGACAGATACAAGCTGAGCGACTCTCAGGCTTGAGTAATGCATGTGTTACTTGAAGACTGGATTTTAAATTGCTTCATTCCAGAACTTCATGCCTCCTGCATTCCTTTCAACATTCTATGGCTCCATAAGAATATTCCAGGAGAGCCTTTCCCATGGATGGCTGCAGCTGGATATGATGTTTTATCCATCTCCCAGTATGACAGCTGTGGTTCAGCTTATGGATCAAGTTGCATCCACCTGTGGACTACATTTGTTCAGTCAGGCAGTGGACGCTTCAGCTAAAGGTATTGGTGACTTGATCCAGTTTCTGGAAAAATTACAATCATCAGTGTATCCAGATATATCAGTTTTGGAGGAAGTTATGAAATGTACATGTAGGGAATATGGAGAACATATTATGTGACCACACACACCAAGCATTTATCAAAATAATGGGAATGAAAATACCAGGAGACCGTCATATATATATAATGGGAATGAAAATACCAGGAGACCGTCATATATATATATATCTCAATATATCAAGAATGTTGCATTTAGACCTCAATACTGCCAGTGTGCACAGATTATGAAGAAGGGTGATAGACCAATCAGGAGTTAATTGGGTTTGAAAAGAAGAGAAATGCTGAAAAACAAAGGAAGAGGGAAGAGGGAAGACCCTAGAAAATTTTACAGTGAAACAATTGTTTAAAGCCAGATTGAAGCCTTCAGGTCCTTAAAACCATGGACTTACTGCTGATGCCTTTGTGGGAGTTATCAGGCAGATTTGAGAAGCAGAGAGAGAGGTTCCTGTGAAGTAGGTGAAGTAAAAAAAAACCCATTCAGGTAACTCATGCTAATTTTCTTAGAAATTCTTATTCGCAGGGATAATCCAGATGATCCAGAGCCTTCCATAAATCAAGTTCTTAAGCCAACAAAATGCCCACCTTGTACAACTCTTATCGTCTGATTGAATTTTTAGGATTTGTGGACTTTTTGATGTATGTATATGTTAAGATAGAGAACTCGGGTGGCTTAGTGGTAAAGAGTTGTACTGCCAAAGCAAAGACACATAGTTTGAATACTCCAGCTGCTCCAAGAGAGATAATATGGTCAATCTCCTCCTGTGTGGCTTTCAGCATCTGAATTACCTGCTGAAGCTATGATTTGATTCAGACTCAGCAGCACATAACAACAATAGCATATATTAAAATTTAGCTGTAAATTTATGTGTAGTGTTTAACAGCTTCCTTTATCAGTGATTGTATTTATAAATCATAAAGATTCTGATAATAAAAGATAAAGAAAACTTTAACAAAGTCAAAATCTGCTTATACAAAATTGTTGGACCAGAACCTTGTGAGTTTGGGATTAACTGTAAATAAAATTTTCTTATTTAAATTTTTTTGGTAAAATTAATAGTGCACGTGTGGAGTTTGTAAGATGCAGAAGTAAATTTTATGACCAGTAATGACACAGAAATTTACTAATATCATCTTTAGAAACGTCATAAACTTAGTTAATATTTCATAAACCAAACACAAGCTGGATCAGTTTCCACTCACAGCGACTCCCTATGTTACCGAATAGAACCAGGATCCATAGCATTGACTTAGCTGTCATCGTGGTGACACTCTTTATTACAGTGTAGATAGAACCAGGCTCTGTAGGATTGTCTTGGCGGGCACCATTGCAGAAGCACATCACCACCCTTTTCTTCTGGGGAATCACTGGGTAGGTTTCAAACTTGAAGCATAGTGATTAGTAATAGCATTGGTGTCATTGTTTATGCCACCCAGAAACTTTAGTTTCTCACTAATCTTATTTCATAGTTCTTTGTACTTTGCTTTTTTAATTTATAGTTCGTCTGTCCTTTTAAATTACCACAACTCA